TACAGCTACCTAGGTTAATGATAGGGTTTTGTTTAAATCAAGAAGTTTAGTTTAAAGGTTTTAAAGAATGGCAAGTGTACCTCGCCCCCTTCCCAATTCCCTCTTGAAAAGCCCTGTTAGTGGCCCCTGGTCGCTTGCTCACTGCTTTATAAAGCCCTGGCCTTCCTGATAGCCGCCCCCCCCCCCCGACTAAGGCTCAGCCAATGAACAGAGGTTTCTAGATTTCAAACCTTATTTAGAAGCTCACAGCTTCCAACTGTCGGCCACAGCACACAGTCCTTCAAACAAACAGACAGACACACACAAGCTCAGCACACAGCAAGTAACCCCCAAATACAAAGACACATACTACAGACAGCTACTAGATCTACAGTAATTTTCAAACAACTATTTTTACACAGAGACAGGGAGTGGAAGGCTCTGGTAGCACGAATGCAAACATCTTGTCTGTTGTAGCAGCATCAGGTTCTCAGTTGCCAGCTACCGGGATTTTATTTACAAGATGACCAACAGCCAGCAAACATTAAAACTTGACACCACCGGCCTTCCCATTGATCCGTGACACAACATTGTCAGCAAACAGACTGGAGAAAGTGCTTGATAACCATGCAGAGAAATGTTTTAAAAACTGATGTGTGTGGATGTTTAAGCCCTTTTTGATGCAGGGTGACAGAAATTCAGGTTCTTAGAACTTTAAAACTGAAATCACTAAGTATACTAGGGTCTATTTGCTCCTTTATGGGAGCTGGGCATAATGGGAACAATGAGTTTGGTGATGCACCAATGGTTAGGAATAGTCATGTAGAAGTTAAATTATTTGAAATATTTGATTAAAGTATTAACAGTTAAGTGTAAATATATTTAATGTAAACAATTTCATAATTATTTTTGCATTATTGAATGCATTAAGGGACAGATTGTGCAAAGATTACTCACATTTAGCACTTATTCACACAAATATCCCCACCACATGAAATCTTGGCCCCAGTGAAATCAATGGAGTTTCACCCACTGACTTCAATGAGACTATTTGTGGGAGTAAATGCCCACCACTGTAAGAATTGAAAAATCTAGCACTATGCTACAACAGTGGCACAATATTTTCTATGGTTGCATATTATGTTTTCATCCATGATCCCAGCCTCCATCACCCACTTATTAAATATTCAAACAATCACCTGCAAGCTTTCTCCCATGTTACCCCTTGCCTTTGGAAGGAGCGCCTTATAAACATCCGCAAAACTAACTAACTCTCTTCAGCGGCGATTACTATAAAAAACTTGACAACAGATAAGCTGCTGATGTGCTGAGATCAGTTGATCATGCTGACCAATACTGTCTCAATGTTTTCTTGTATGTACTCCCCCATCTGTCTTATATTTAGATGGTATTGTGTTTTATACAGAGCATAATATAATGAGGTCCTGGTCCATGACTGAGGCTCCGATGCACTACAATACAAATCATATTTTATTCTAACCAGAAGCTACTTTTCTATAACAATGAAAATCCCAGGGGAAACACTTTCACATCACCAATTTGCCAGTCCTTTTAGATTATTTGTTAATTATGGGCTACGTTTTGCAGAAAGTTCAGCAGCAGTTTACATCAACCTGTGTAAATTGACTGGTTTGACAGAGAGGCCCTCAGCATCACTGCTATCATAGAGGGTCTGTCAATTTTATATTTTAAACCAGGGGTGGCCAACCTGTGGCTCCAGAGCACATGCAGCTCTTCAGAAGTTAATATGTGGCTCCCTGCATAGGCACCGACTCCGAGGCTGAAACTGCACGCGACAACTTTCCAATGTGCTGGGGGATGCTCACTGCTCAACCCCTTGTCCTGCCCCAGGCCCTGCCCCCACTCCAACCCTTCCCGCCCCCCTCCCTTGAGCCTGCCGTGCCCTCACTCCTCCCCCCCCAGAGCCTCCTGCATGCCATGAAACAGCTGATGGGGAGGGAGAGGGAGGCGCTGATCGTCGTGCAGGAGGCGCGGGGAGGGGGGGGGATGGAGCTGATGGGGAGCTGCTGACATATTTCTGTGGCTCTTTGGCAATGTACATTGGTAAATTCTGGCTCCTTCTCGGCTCAGGTTGGCCACCCCTGTTTTAGACTCTGTGTTCACAGCTCAGCCATTCTCACATTTTACTCAACCCAGCATCCAGAAAATTCATGTATGAAGCACTCACCATGAACTGAAAATAAAGTGAATCATTACTCACATTTTTGAGTCTACTGTTAGCACTGACCATCTTTCTAAAAAAATGACATGATAGCAGGATAGAAGGGATTATAAACCAGCTTTCAGTTGCTACTATAAACACCCTTCATTAATATTTAATAATTATTCTCACTTTTCCTACCAGCATAAGGTCTTTCAGTAATTTACAGCAAGACTTTTCTTTTTCATTGTACCGGGGGCTTAATTTATTCAGTTATTTGTAGTAACAAATTATTTGCATGCCTGTCCATCAGTTAGGTAGGGAGCAAGTGTGCTTTTAACACATTTAGGTTAGTTTTGTTGAAACTTCAGAAGAGGTGAGCTGCTGTAAGGGCAAATAAGCAGGTAACTGTATCAGTACCTTGGGGCACACCTAAAAAGAGTGCTAGGCTCAATTGACTAGTCTGGAGAGTCAAGTGTATTCTTGCATTTTACATACCGAATTGCATGCTATTAAGTGTGGATAACGTGCATTTTTTTGTTTGTTTGAGAAATAAATATGCCTATGAAGTAAATCACATAGGCTTGTTGTGTTTTATTTCATAAAACCTTTGTGGTGTTTTTGTCACTACATCACTTTTGAGGTTGGATAGTACCCTATTCTGAAGAGGGCAGATCTAGTCCACAAATAACAGCATGTATTATCATCCTGCACTAATAGTTATATCATATTCCAATCCACTGTGAAATCTGAATACATATACACATTTTTGTTTAAACAAAACACTGCCAGTAACTGAAAAAGGGGTCAAGAACATTAAATGTTTAGGTGTTCAACCCTTCACAGACTTGTCCTCCTATCTTCTTTCTCTGCTCCCCTCCACTCCGCTTGTCTCCAATCAGCTATTTTTTCACTTCTTTCATTTAGGAGCTATAATGAACAGTTTGATATATGTGACCTGTTGTCCCTCCCTCCTACCACCACACTTATAGTTTGCTGTATTCTAGCATTTTTCAAACATAGATCCCAGAGACTTTTACAAGGGAAGGCAAGTATTATTCTCCCCTTTAACAGAGATGACACAGGAGGTAAGTGGCATAGCTACTCTACCAGAATGCAGATCTGCCTCCTAGCCCCCTACCTTATACATCAGACCATGCTATCTCTCTCAAAGTATTTGTAAATATGATGGAACTCACTAGATTACCAAATGTTTTCCCTTGCTTGGTCTGCACTGACGTCCTGCTTCTGCTTGGATACATTAAGTTCAGAATGCAAAATAAAAAAAATCTCCCCTTTTGTAGTGGAGATGCACTTTTCATCCATAGTGACTTGGCACTCTAAACATAAATATCTACAATCTAAATAAAACTGGATATGAATCTACGCTCCAACTTGGAATCCTTCAGCTGGGAGTTCAGTCTACTTACACAAAACTATTTTTAAAGACTACTTATTTTGTACTTTTTATGGGACATTAAAGGACTGTAGTTTAGGCCCATAATTTGTCTTCAGTGAGATTTAAAAACAATCTGATTTTTTTTAGTCTTCCATTATACGTACTCCTGGCATAGGTTCATTCTACTGCTGCAGAGCTGCAAGCAGTCAGCAGAGGGAGCACAAGTTAACTAACCAGTTATTACCCAAACTTCTAGACTCTACAAAAGATTTTGATAAATAGTGAAGATGGAAATTACAGACTGCTGTCAGACTGTAAAGGGGCAGGATTCTTCCTTCCACTTACACTGGCAATAAGGAACAAATTGAGGCAGAAAGTGGGCCAAGAGTTCATGTGAAACTGAACAGAAACTCCAGTGTTTGGAGGCCTCATGGTGAAGATAGAGAAGCCATCAGAGTCAGCAGGTTCCCATGCCATCAAGAGCAAAAGTACATGGCAGAGTCACATGTCAAAACTGGAGGTCTGGTCCAGCATTTACTTCCTGTAGTGGGAGTAAAGTGGTGATACTCAATGGCTTGGGAAACTTTGTATTATCAAGAGGAGGCCCTGGGTTCTGTGGAGCAGAGTTTCTGATCCTGCACTAGCGGATAAAGGTCAGAGATCTGCATCTTTAGAAGCAGATATAACAGATTCTTGAACTACTTCTGGATCTGTGGGCATTAGCCCCAGTCCCTCCCACAAGGCAGCCAATACTACTTCACAGATTGGGGCCTCAGGGATTTTTGGGCAAGTAAGCTATCCTCTTTTACACCTTTTTCCATACTCAGCATTGATTGAGCCTAAGTATGTGGATGAGATAGGTGGAGAGTGAGAAGAGAATTACAGTGTGCAAGATAGAAATAGAAGGCGGCAAACCCTCGATAGCAACAGTTGTGATTTAATTACTCTTATATTTCTGAAGAGGTGACAGCAATCATGGATAGTGAAAAACAAATAGAATCCATGACTAAAAATAATTTCCTGTGGAGTGGCTCCCTATTCTCATGTGTTACATCATGTTTCTGAATGAGAAATGAAGAGGACTCTTGTTCCCATGCACATTACTCCTTAAGGAAACAAAGGAGATTCCTTTGAGTGACAAAAGGCACTCCCACCCATAAGCTTTGGGCATTTGAGCTCCAGTAAGTATGCCTCGAAAGGCAATTTAACATATTGCACAAACATACACATATTACTCTTGTTAGACAGACATTAATGTTTAGATTCAGTGATGGTGTCCCTAGCCTCTGTTTGCCAGAAGCTGGGAATGGGTGACAGAGGATGGATCACCCTCTGGGGCATCTATCATTGGCCACTGTCAGAAGGGCTAGATGGACCTTTGGACTGACCTTTGGCCGTTCTTACGTTCTTAAAGCCAATAAAAACTATTAGAAAACTTGCTTTGCTTAGTAAAATATTTAGTAGTTATTTTAATGTGTCTCTTTAAACCAAATATACAAGACAAACATTTATTTACATATTAAAATATTTTTGCTGCTTTAACAAATAAACAAAACCAACAGTGGCAGTACCTTGCTTTTAGTGACTAATATAAATCTTATACATATAGATGAACCCTCCATTAAAAGCCATTATTCTGTGCACTAACCCTGCCTTTACCCCAAATATCTGACCAGAAGTAATTTGCACAAACTGGTAAAGTCAAGATTTGAAAAAAAATAGTTGTAATAAATTATCCTCTTTCCTGCCTTTCTCCCTGCTCCCTTCCCCCTGTGTGTGCCCCCCCCCTTTACATGAATGGAAAAAGCTCATATTAAGTAATTTTCCATATAATAAATAATCTGTTTCAACATGCTCACTTTCCCACTACAGTAAAGAGTAAACACAATACTTTATAGCCTGTATTTCAATGCCTTAGTTTCAGATAATAGCATCCCAACATTGTAATTGTGTGCTTTGAGACAGATATGGTTACCATTATTCACTCCACACAAGATAAAACACCTTTATCCATCTCTATAGTTTGAGTTACTCCTTTATAAGTAATTTCAAATGAGACAGAATTTCAATACCCGATGACCAAACTAGAACAGAAGACTGTACAGGATCAAGATCCTCAGACATCTGAGAAATCATTTTCTCTAATGTGTATCCTTGTCTGGGCATAGCAATATCATCCTTCTTTAAAGAAGTTACTGGACAGAGATCATTCCCACCATCACCGACATATATAATTTTTGTATATTTTACTCCTTGCTGTAACTTTTTATCTACAAATTCTTCTAACACTTTTCTTTTGCAGAGGTTTTTAGGGCACTTTGCACAATGATGAGTGTGAAAATTCTGCACAGTAAGATAACCAGCACCACTGAAAGTTGCAGGATTTGTAAACACTTCATCAAGCACTTCATGAAAGTTAGCAGCTTTTAAAATCCAGTCAATAAATACTGTATTAGAATCTGAAATTATTATGCAATCAAAGAAATCTTTGTTCTTGCCAATAAAATCTAAAAGATCTCTCATTCCTGTAGTGAAAGGAATTGTTGTCATAGTTCTTTTCATCTCATCTTCTCTTACTCCACTGTCTCCCAAATATCTAAAGACCCTGCTCATGTATTCTGTCCAATGTCCTTTTTGATAGGAGTTTCTTAGTTTGTTAGGCAGTTTTTCCTCAGGAGCACACTTCACAATCCAGGTGTCACTGTTTTCATCTATGACCGTACAGTCAAAGTCAAAAACCAGCAGAAACTTCATAGTTGTTAGATAAGAATATATTCTGAAAAAAAGAGAGATAGTTTGTTTATATAAACAGACACTTCTACTAAGTATTGAATTCCTACCATGACCTCCTGCTTGGAAAAGAGCAATTCTGCAAGAAAAAAGTCAGCAAGACAAATGTATAAACGTAGAGAGCTGTTTATGAGTGCTACAGCTGTCAGAAACATTGTGCTCACGCAAGCAGACGATCTGTAAAGGTCAAAATTCTAATTCACTATCCAACTACATTTTTAATTAGATAATATAAAAAGTATCTGAAACAACATAATTATATTGTTACTCACTAGTCTTCGCTGACACAAGCTCAATCTTGCATTCCTTGGACAGCATCATTTAAACAGCCAGGTGGCACTTCAGTTCTAAATTTTGCCAAAGCAACCCTCACAGCTTAAATTCTTCAGCTTGCAGACAGGAGATGGAAGCTTTTTATGAAAACCTTGAGAGAGACATTTGGAGATGCTGCTGTTGCTAGGAGTTTAACCCGTTTTCTCTCCCCCCACACACTTAAAAAAACCCAACAACTAGTAACAATATTCAAGCAGCCACCTTGACTCAAAAATCAAGAAAGCAAATAATACTGGTGGTGAATATTAGTGTTGACTTGCTATGGGGAGATTTGTAGGTGACTGTGGTCCTGCAGCATTAGAGTTTATAGACCAGCCCCGAATTCCCTGGAAAAGGAAACACCTCACCCTTTCTTTAGTGCAGTTCTAGGCACATATTTTGTTTAGCTTAGTAATAACTTCGTTCATCATCTTTTCTTCATTCAGAAAGAAGCCAGGCAAGTCGTCAGCAGTTGTTAACAATATATAAGCTACAGCTCTAACTCTCTCTAGTCTCAGTCCTTCTATAAAGGACACTTGACACAGATGGAGAGAGGACCGTCCAGCATTAGACAATATCACTCTTTTGGAAACTGCATCCCCCGCCCCCAAACAAAGAAGACCCCCCCACCACCGCATGACACAGGAGCAGAGGGAGCACAAAGCAGGAGATCGGGGTTTTCAGCTGCGCTCTGGGGAGCGGCGGAGTAGCTACACCGAAGGGATGGGGCAGCCAGCAGCACGCCGCGAGGCGGCCCGGAGGAAAGGCTGGCGCTAACGGAACGGGGCGGCGGGGAGCCAAGCCAGGCCTGGTCAGAGCAGGCCAAGCAGGGACTCTCTCAGGAGCCGGGCAGGCCGTTGGCATGGTGGCCCAGTGACCGGGGGAGCCCGGCGGGGATGGGGGGCTGGCGGCAGCGCTGTGCTAGCGCCGCACGCGGCGTCCCGGCCTGGCAAGGCCTCAGAGAGCCGCGTTCCGACAGGAGCCCGGGCGAGGCTCGGGGCAGCAGCCGGGAATACTCGGCCGCGCGGAGCGCTCACCCTCAGCCTCCGGGCCGAGCGGGGACAGGAACCACAAGCGGAACAAGGGGACGATCCGGGCCCGAGGGTCACGGGCAGCGCGGACACTACCCCGGCGTCGAGGGGAGGCGCCCGACTGGGGCAGGCGATGCGGCAACTCCGCTCCTCCAGCTCTGACACTGAGCCGGCCCGCTTCCGGCTCCGCCCCGCTAAGTCACGTGACACCCCTCTCCGCCAATCGCGCCGTCTGTCTCCCTCCGTCTTTCGGTTGCCTGGTAACCGCGGTACACGGTGCACGAGCGAGCCTGGCGCCGCGCTGCCCCGGCTGCAGAGGGTTATGGACTCGGCCGCCAGGCCCGCGGCGCTCTATGGGAGGCGCAAAGGCCAGAGACTGGAGCCCACGTGTGAGTGACACGAGAGTGCCGGAGCTACGCGGAGACCAAGCTCGGGGCGACACGCGCGTGGCCGGGGCCACGCGGACAGACGGGGGACGGTGCTGGAATGGGGGCAACAGGGCTGCCTAGAGGATTCAGGGGGCCTGGGGCAAAGCAATTTAGAGGGCCCCTTCCATTAAAAAAAGTTGCAATACTATAGAATACTATATTCTCAGGGGGCCCCCTGTGGGGCCTGGGGCAAATTGCCCCACTTGCCCCCCCCGGTGGCCCTGGGGGGGCGAGGCCGTGCACCTCCCAGCCATGTGGTGTCATGCCCGGCCCCATGGGGCCCACCCACCACCTGGTGCACGGCCAGGCGAACCTGTGCCACCACCTGGGATGGGTCGGTATGCGGGAAACAGCCCCTGGCTAATGCACCACACAACCCCGGGCCGGGGTTCCTTCCTTGAGTGTAACTGGCTTGTAACCGCAGCAGCACGCTGAGGTTTCATGGTCAGCCGAGGGAGGGGAGCCTGACCAGTAAAGCAGTTGCGTGGGGGTGAAGAACAGGGGTGGCCATTGCAGTGAGGGACATTTGAGGTGAATGGTGCCTACATGTGTGACGTGGTGGTGCCCAGACAGATGGAGGATGTGGTGCCCAAACGTGGAGCTGACATGCCAGGCACAAGGAAGGGCTGATGTTCTGGCATCACAGAAGAGTGCAGGAAAAATACAGTACGATCCCCTTTATCCATTCCCTTGCTGGGTTACCCTTTAAGAAAACTGGCAACAGAGATTGTAAACAAAGAACAAACAGACATAAGATATCACTCTCAGAGAAAGCAGTATCTCACATAGTAAAAATCTTCGATCTTAAATCCCCTCACAGCTCTGGTTCCATGCAGACATGCAAGTAGATTTCTAGGGCCTGTTTCTCCTCTCACAAGGGTATACATAGGAGTAACTCAACTGAAATTAATGGAGTTACAGGTATATGAAACTATTGTGGAAGTAGAGTCAGGCCACTTATATAAAGATGCAGCCTGTGATAGACAATCTTGGCTGCATACAGTATTCTACTGTTGACACTTGGGTTGTGCAAATCCCCTTGTTTAGAGGAAGACCAGGCCCAGTGCACCAGGCAAAGGGCAATGAGCAGAGAAGCAATTTTATCTAAAAGTAGGTTTTAATTTTAAACATCATTGTCAGAACAGGTAAAAGTTGTCCCCTTTTTTAGATTTGTCATGCAGTATTCTTACAAACCAGATGGGCAAAGTTTTCTAAGATAATTTAACTTTACTCAAATATCTGTTTTTTTAAAGCAGTAATGACTAACATGAAGGCCGTTTCCTGAAAATTAATGACTGGCAGGAGGAGTTGAGGGACTGAAAAGTACAGGAAAGCAAGACACATTGGTCTGTCAAGTAACATGAGGCTCTGGATCTGAGGGTTAGTTCTGACTGTGCTCCTGCTCCTGGATACTAGAATTACATTACATTGTAGAATCAAACTAATATGATGCTTTACTGTCAGCGCTGGGTAGGAGTCCAAATCTTGGTGTGGGTTTGAACCCAGGATTTTCTGGCCAGAAGTGCTACAAACTGAGTGAACTCATTCTTTTGTTCTTTCTTTCACATAGCAGCAAATGGTTTGGAAGAATATAATGCTCCAGATAGTATTTTTCTTCCAAATGGAGTAGATCTTCGCCAGGTTACTGTTCTGCCAAAGGCAGAATGGGTAAGAATTCGAGACAGTGTTGACAGTGCAGCTAGAGAAGCAGCACGGATTCATGCAGAGAGGAAAGAACGGAAAGATATGCACTTACGTTCCAAAGCAGTTGTGAAAAACTGGCCCAACACCATTGCAGTAAGTGAAATGTACATTTGGAAATTGGAGGGTTACTTTTCATATACATTAGATTAGATCGACCCCCCCACCCCCAGTGTAGACCAGGCCTTAGAGTGAACTCTTCCCCTCCCTTCTCCATGTACCAACACATACAAACACACTTCCTAACAAGAGTTTCACTATAACTACTTTTTGGTGGCCCTGCCTACTAATTCTCCTGCTTAGGAACATCATAGCTTCTTCCCTCTTCACTCCAGAGAAGTATCAGGAAATTCCAGCAGCTAAAGAGAGAGGGCAGCAGTGCTGCATGCAGCAGCGCATTAGACCTGCCCATGTCATGTCATGGATAAGTTTAAAACAGGATCATAGAGAGAAGGAGCAAGTAAGAGGTGTGAAGGGAAGGTCTCCATCTTCCCTGCTGACTGCCAATGGAGCCACTTGCCCACCAGGCCTCCAGTCTTTCCCTTCTCCCTACAGGATTATTGTTCAAAATATTTCAGTGGGCAAGTCTAGAGCTTCCAAATTACACATCTTAGTTATTGCAGCTCAGGTAATTACATTCTGCCTACCTAAATTTACTCTGTAATTTCAATTGGCTATATTGTTATTTACTATCGTCTGTATTGCAGTAGTATCCAAAATGTGGATCTGAGAAACAACCATGTCTGCCCCCATAGCATACAGTCTAATAAAACATACAACAGAAAGGCTGGGGGAGAGGGAGAAGACATACAACAAAATTTTGTTGTCGTACTGGCCCCCTGTCTCAACTACTGTGCTGCCTACCCCTAACTAGTTGGCAGTCCTGTAGGCATTGTGGTAGAAGTGAATCTTGGTGAGGGATTTGAAGGCAGTTCAGTTTAGAAAGTGTGTTCCAAATGCAAGAGGTGGCATGGAAAAAAGCCCAAAGCCTGTTGTGGGAGAAGCAGACAAATGTATTGTCAAGGCTGTTGTAATTAACGGAGCAGAAATCCTTGCTCATTCTGTTCTTTATTTCCTGTCCTAAACTACCACGTAGTGCAGTGCTGTTAAACAGCTGCTGCTTTTTATCTCAGAGATGGCTGCACATCAGTGGTCATTGAAGTGATCCTTATCCTTTATCCAGTGGTGTGAAGCTTATTATAACTACTCATAAAACACTTTGGGATCTGCATATGAAATATCCTTTCTAACAGCAAAGCATTTTTATCATACCTTTAAATTTCTAATAGATATTTAAAACACAGGACAGCAGCACAAAAAGTGTTTGATAGTTCACTTTAGGTATGAGTAGGTATAATCAACTTCTTGCTGATTTGGTCTTTTGAAGAAGTTGTAAATTTTTGAGCCAGTTCTTTTCAGTGTGATCTGTAATGGAAATGAGTTTTATCTGCATTTAGGGCCAGGCACAGAGGAAACTTAAAGCCAGAAAATTGCGAGAAGAAAAGGAGGAAGAAGAAAGAAAACTACTTGATCTGGAGGAAGCACAGTTTCAAGCAGCAAAGCGGAAGGAGGCCATAGAACAGGCCAAAACATATCAATATTATCAGAATGAGAGAGTGAAAGGGTTACATGTTTGTAGATGGTTTATTGTCTTTAATTCAAATTGTATTGTTTCTTTGCACATAATTGAATGTGTAATAAAATAAACATGAAATGTTCCAATTCTGTTTTGTAGAAAGCACTTTTACTTACTGAGGTCCTAAAGGAAAGAGATGCTCAGATTGAATTTAAAAAGACAAAGCCAGATATTTACAAAAAAAAGGAAGAAGAAATGGAACGTGAGCGTGAAAAAGCTATTCTGAAAGAGCAGGAAAAGGCATATGAACGCTATATGAATCGACAGGCACTTTGCAGAGACCACCTGGAACAGTAAGTAAAACAGGGCTGTTTCTGACTAATAAAGATTATTGAGTTAAACTGTTTCTTTTTCAACAAATCTATTTTAATCAAGTTGTTAAAAGAAACATAGTGTTCATCTGCTAAACAAATGAGTTACCAGGAATTTTTAACAGAAACAAAATGAGCTGTTTTCTCAGTAGAGAGAAAGACCTATTAGATCATCCATTCCATCTTCTTAGCCATGCAGAATTCTACTGACATTACAGTTTCTAATATTTTGTCCAGTCCAGTTTTAAAAGCCCCTCTGCTTCCTTTGGGAAGGAACTTATACTACATTCCTTGGGAGGCTATTCTACAATCAACTGATCTCGTTCCCAGGAAATTTATATAATATATGGAGATATACCTATCTCATAGAGCTGGAAGGGACCTTGAAAGGTCATTGAGTCCAGCCCCCTGCCTTCACTAGCAGGACCAAGTACTGATTTTGCCCCAGATCCGTAAATTGCCC